ACCGCCGCACGCGCCGCCACGCGCCGCCGGAAGGGAGCAGCTGCCGGAGCTTACTCACGCGCGTGAGAGCGCGTGAAACGTTCATTTTCCGATCGGTCAACGCCGTTGACTTCGCCGTGACGTCAGCTTTCTGGTTTGGTGAAGTTTGTTCGATTCCGAGAAGATTTGATTTGCGGTCAACTTTTCGGGCCAGCCAGATCTACATAAATTTTAAGCGGTAAGTTTTCTTCATCAAATCTTTAGATCCGCTGCGCATAGGTTTATGTTGAATATTTGTCCGTGATTTGTGCATATCGAGATCCTCATATGTCCCAACATGAGCCACCAACGGGACCATAACCTAGCCTAAGAAGGCTATCGAGGCCGAGTGTCTTGAAGCGAGCATAATCAACCAACCGACGTGCATTACCACGTATCCTCAACGTGTATCATTGCCCTGCACATGTGTTGTATTCTCCTACGATCGTTGTAGTCGAATCGCCGAGTGCGTGTCGTGCATCGAGTCTGAGTCGAACCACCGAGTGCGTGCCGTGCACCGAGTCTGAGACGAACCACCGAGTGCGTGCCCCTGCACCGAGTCCAAGCCAACTCACCAGTGCGTGCCCATGCACCGAGTTCGTCCGATCTACAGTCAGTGTGCTGTCTTCACTAGCCGTGGTCCAAGCAGGCCCTTGCGTCAGTGACCGTGGCACCATTTAAATGCCCGTGCGTCGGCCAAGTCGAGCCGCACATAATCAAGCGAGTAACCGGCCAGTTCCGAGTGAGCCGCCTGTCCAGTTTAGCCAAATCAGTTTGGGCAGTCCGGACATTTTTGGGAGTTCAGGTCAGATAATCGGTTTAAGACTTAGGAATTTATCCCATAACTTTATACAGCTCAGATAGAAATGATATTAATAGACCGTGAAGATTTTCATTAAATTCGGCAAGCCGTTAAATGCAGGCTAGGAATAAAATTTAAATGTTTTAGAAACCGACCGAGCGAACCTAAACAAGATCGATAATATTATAACTAAGTTTTTCAGTTGAGCTAAATACTTAGAACTCTATGCCTTAAATATTTGGTAGCTTCCGGAGAGTCGCCGTTCAGTTCCAGCACTATCATAATTAGCCTATCATGTGGGGGTCATGTACTGGGTTTCACATCATCCTTAATTTATTACCATGTCTGAGGTATGTGTGTAGATAAATTACGTGGATGGGGTTGAGCGTGCCTTAAATTCCATCTAAGTTTCGATTGAGGTAAGCGTGCCTAAATCAGATTAGTCGCCTAGAGGATCCTAGGCTTCTGGGAAAGAGACCCCCAGAGTATGCATATAAGTACCAGAGAGTCCGATAGTCTCATAGATTCTGTTTATTTATATGTATGCTGATTTCATGTTATTGTTATTAATGATGTTGTTTTATTCAATACTGGTCTTTGTGAAGCATAGTGGTTTTGTTCACGTCCCCACTACGTTCTTCTTTTAGGTGACGGAGCCTGCGTGGAGCGTGAGCAGTGGATTTTTGACACACATTTTTCATGTCTTTTATTTGAACATGTATTATTATACCTATGCGTGCACTTATTATATTTTCGTTTCTGCATATTCAGACTAGTATGAGACTTCAGACTTAATTAAGAATTATGTTACTTATGACTATGCATACTAAGTTCCAAATATTCCATGGCGCCTTTATTCCGGAATGGATAAGAATTTCAGTTGCATGTATGTGGTCTAAGTTTCATAAAGAGTTAAGTAAGTAAGTTTTCAATGGTAGCAACCTGCAAGTTTTTAAAAAGGGTTTTTCGAAAAATTTAGCGAGACCTTTTCAAAAATAAAAAGAAAAATTTAACTCTGATTTTTATAATCTAATATTAGAAGGCGGGGTGTTACAAGGACCCTTCAAAAATTTGAAAGTTCTCAATGGTGGAGCATATGAGCTCGAAGATGGATACGAGAAGATCTTACCTAGGCCGTGGAACATTATTCACCTCAAGAAGTAATGCGCATAGAACCAACCAGATTGATCTTTTTGGAGTACATTGTAAATATTTTTGATTAAATACTTATTTCGGTGAATATCGTGTTGTTTTGGGTTTTTTTGATGAACGATTGTCCCAATGGAAAAGTACCTGTTTTGATGACCATGTACCCGTTTTTTGACAACGTAGCACTTGTTTTAATGATCACATGTTTTGTTTTAAAGATAGTATGTGTTTAATTTGAAGACGCTAGGCGTCCAATATGTATGCTTGATATTGATACGCGTTCGAAACGTTTAATTTAGACGAGGATGTGTGTTTCGATGTGTTTGATGGAAGATAATTTCTATTCGTGTTTAAGAATATATATATATATATATAATTATATATATATATATTTCCTTTTCTTTCTTCCTAGCATCATTTACACTACCCCGGTCCGAAGGATCGCTCCGAAGCTCAAGGCTAAATTGATTTGTTGGCCGTACTAGATCTAGCCCAAGGCTAAATCGATTCGCTTAGGGATAGATCTATCTGAAACAAGAGCTAGATTGATATGAAGCTCAAGGCTCGATCGATCCGTACCTTAAGGATAGATCGATCTGAAGCACGAGGCTAGATCGATCTGAAGCTCAAGGTTAGATCGATCTGTAGCTTAAGGATAGATCAATCGACACGAGGCTAAATTGATCCGAAGCTCAAGGCTAGATAGATCTGAAAGCCCTAGGATAGATAGATCCGTAGCTTAGGGCTAGATCGATCTAAAGCCTGAGGGTGGAATAAATCTCCAACTCGAGCAAATAACCCGAGGATTGATCATGTTCGAAAGGATCGAGCTCCGACGCTTAGAGCAAATACTTCATAGACCAACCGCGAGAATCAAGCTCCTATGCTTCGAACAAGTGCTCCGAAGACGATCGCGAGGATCAAGCTTCATCGAGAGCAAATAATCCGATGATCGATCATGTTCGAAAAGATCGAGCTCCGATGCTTCGAGCGAACGTTTCGAGGACCAGATCGCAAGGATCGATCACACCTATTGGACCAATCACACTTATGGGACCCATCGCGCAACGTTTCGAGGACTGATCGCGAGGACCGAGGGTGCGGGACCGATTGCACCTATGGGACTGATCGCGCATACGGCCTCAATCGTGTTGGCAAAGGCGGAGTTTCACTAAGCTCAATTCGACATTCCGAAAACAATATACGCAAGCGGCAATTTTCTTTCTTTTTTTTTGTTTTTTTTTTTGCCGTAAGGATGATTCGAAAACAAAAACACAATACAAACACAAGATACAAAACAAGCAAGTACACGAACCCAGGTGCATGTGTTCAAAAACGCAAGTTCAAAAGAGAGTACCAACAGTCTGGATTACATAAACGTGCAAAACAGAAGCACAATCATGTAAAGTACCAAAGCAATCGAACAAAACAGACCGGAGCCTCTTACACAAGACCTCATCATCCTCATACTTTCCTTCTATGAACTTAAACTATAAAAGGAAAATTGCAGTCCCCGATTGAGTTTTATTCTTCATTTCTGTTTATAATTCTTCAAAATTAAAAGTTTATTCTTCACCTAATTTGAACACGACAGCTCCGTGTCTCCCGGTATAATATAATGAAAGACACAACATAATAAAATAATTATACAATTTTCTACACGGTTTAGTTGATGCACGCAATTCATGCGACAGTAATCTGTACAATGGTACCAAAACGTAGCAGGTGCCTGATATGTGCCATTCCAAATTCCTAACTAACATATTATAATCTATAGGTTTAAGCAACCCACATATACTTATCAAATGGTTCTTTACTATTTTTTTCTCCTCAATTGGGTAATTTCTTTTTTTCTTCAGAACTTTTTAGTTTTATTCCTTTCCTGATAAGTTTGACAATGGAACAACGACTATATATACATACAATTTTTTTTATTTCAGCCACAAAATAAAAAAAAAATAAAAAAAATAAAAACCGTGTTTCCGGTGGAATCAGAAGCTACCTTCATCCGCCTAGCCTTTTGAAAATTATAGATCTTCCAGTTTATATTTTTTTTTTTTCGGAAATACATGGTCCAGTTACGGAATCATTCCGTCTAGTTTGCAACCGTTAGATCATCATGTAACCGTTGAGATAGTTGATTTAGCGGCTGCAAACTCGACGGAATCGTAGCATCTCCCTTTTCTTTAATATATAGATTTAGTATATCATATAATTATTAATAACAAATAGTTTGGTGGATTAAAAGTCCAAAAGAAACGAAAAACGAAGAAGTCTCAAAGCCACTTACCTACCTTATGATCAAGCAACCAATTTCTGAAACTACTAATTTAAAACTGAGATATGATCCAATTTTTTTAATCAATATTGTTCATCCATCCAAATCTTCAACAACACATATAAAACCCACCTAAGCCAATATCACATTAAACCTTCAACACCAAAAATTTCCACTTGATCATAATAACACCCCAAAAACCCAAACCATAAGAAAAGAAAGTGGTAGAGAATGAAGAACTCACTAACCCTACTACCCCTCATCTTACTAATCCTCCCAAAACCATCATTCACACAACCCATACCCCAAACCCAATTCCCAAACCCTAGACTCTTCAATGCCTACATAGCCCTCCAAGCTTGGAAACACGTTATCACGGCCGATCCCCTGAACTTCACGTCGAACTGGATCGGATGCAACGTGTGCAACTACACCGGAATCTACTGTGCTCCGGCCCCAGACGACCCACGGGCCACCACAGTAGCTGGAGTTGACCTCAACCATGCGTCCCTCTCCGGATGGCTCCCGCCCGATCTTGCCCTGTTGACCGATCTCGCCCTCTTCCACGTCAACTCCAATCGTTTCACGGGCACTATCCCGTACACCTTCTCAAACCTCAGACGTTTATACGAGCTCGATTTGAGTAACAATTTATTCTCCGGGGAATTCCCTTATGTTTTGCTCTATCTACCTTCACTAAAGTTCCTTGATATCCGGTTCAATCAGTTCCAGGGCAAGGTCCCTTCAGGTCTGTTCGACCTGAAGTTGGACGCCCTTTTTATAAACAATAACAATTTCCAACTCACTTTACCGACCAGTTTAGGAAACTCGACTGTGTCCGTCTTAGTCGTGGCTAACAACAACTTCCAGAGCTCGTGCCTGCCGGCGGGGATTGGAAATATGGCGGGCACTCTCCAAGAGATTGTGCTGACGAATGCAGGGTTAGGAGGGTGCTTACCGGACGAGGTGGGTTTGTTGACTCAGTTGACCGTTTTCGACTTGAGCTTCAATAATTTGATCGGGAGTTTGCCGGAATCGATAGGAAAGATGAGGGGACTCGAGCAGCTGAACTTGGCGGGGAACAAGCTTTCTGGAAATATTCCAGAGAGCATTTGCATGTTGCCGATGCTAGAGAATTTTACCTACTCGGGTAATTATTTTTGTGAGGAGCCGAGTTCCTGTTTGAAGCTTCAAAGTAAGGATGATTCTAGGAATTGTTTTCATTATAGGCCCAGGCAGAGGTCCATTCAAGAATGTCACGATTTTTATTCTCGGCCGGTGGATTGTACCGCCTCTGGCTGTTTGCCACCGCCTCCACCTCCGCCACCGCCACCACCGCCTCCACCACCACCACCACCACCACCACCGCCTCCTCCTCCACCTCCGCCTACGCCTAGGCCACCACCGTCTTTGCTGCCACTTCACGTTAATCATTCATAATCACTTTTGTGTACTATTAAAAGACCAAAAGCAAAAGGAAACAAAAAAATAGAAATAAAAGAAAGATGAATCAAAAAAAAAAAAGGAGGTTTAAAATGTTTTACTTCTCACTTTGATGTATATATGATAGGAAAGAGTTTGTATATTCCAGTTATGTATGCTTGTTTAATAGTGGAAGTTTGAATTGTTTCTTCCTGCCGGTTTGACAATAATACGGGTTCATTTCTGTGATCAGTTCCATTTATTTGATTATATACATGTCTGTCTACGGTGAAATGTCTAAAAGGTTTACTAGTAACAAAAAACTTATTAAAGTCAATGTTCCTTCAGTATTTCCTTGAAAAGAAACACTAGTGGCTATATATTTGATTAATTTCAAACAACTTTGACTATTTGAGGTTAACTAAACCCGTTGTTTCATTTCATCATTAATATATATATTTTTTTTTTTTTCCGAAACGATAGAGGTACTATATTAATAAAACCGCACAAAATGCGAAAAGAAAGCAATCAAAAGCTGAATAGTACAACTAGAGGCTATAAAACTTGAGAGAATTATTTATTTTGTTGGGGTTTACAAAACGATTATGTTATATTTAATTATATGTAATGTTAACATATATAGAAGAATAAATACATGCAAAGAATAAAGGGAGACACTAATGTTGTCGATCGGCTGTGATGACCGACAAGAAAATTATTTTTTTGAGATTTTTATTGAAGAGTTGTATGATAAGTTTACAACCGTACGAATTGTATCATCTCATATGAGGATGTGCGTATGTGTTTTTGTGATGATGTCCCTCTCTTTGGACTTGGAGGGGGTCGATATTTATACACAAAAAGGGTGCAAGAGCATTAAATGTTAGGTGTTAGCTAGGGCGTAGGGTGGTGCCGCGTTTATCCATATAGTGCTCGACTTTTGAGGATGAGACAGATTGAGCGGCGCCACCAACTTTATCAATTCTTTGTGCAGACTATATGTCATCGTCAATCTTGCTCCAGAAGACTCCGAAGGCGATTGGCAGGCTGATCGGGGGATCGACAAACCTAATCCTGCAATCTTGGGTCGAGAGAGTCCGTGCGCCTTCTAGACCTTGTTCTGTATTTTGGGCTGCGTCGCTCGAGAAACATTGTGTTCGGATATATATATATATATATATATATACAACAAGTTCATAAATATTTATGAATGATTTATGTATGATTTTATTTAAAATATTGTATTTTTTCAGAACTTTTTCAAAAATTAAACACACTTTTCCAAAATATATTGTACCAAAACAAAAATAAATAAATAAATACTTTTTTTTTTTACAGGGTCTTTCCAGTATCCGGATCCACTAGGGGAACCAACTAATCCAGAATCGAGCCGAGCCGAATAGGACCAGAAGATCGGCAAAGCCAACAGTCATCATCAAATTTTCACTCTACTGAGCTGCTGCAAATCACGGCAGAAAAGGCAGCACAGTTTCTCTCTTCCTCTCTATGGGTACGAACCTCACATAGTAAGTCGCGTATCTCTCTCCTAAATTTTCACATGCATGTGTGCACGCAAATTGAATTTGTTTAAGCTAACAAAAATTGGCTGTCAATTGTGCGAGGTTTGGCTTTACTCTTCTCAGTTTTCATGGTCTTATCTTCTACTTTATAGTCTCTTTTTGTTTTTTTTTCTCTTGGTTTTTGGATGTCCAATTTTATGTGTTTAACGCCCAGTTATATTTCATTGAACTCAGTTCTCTCGTGTTAAATTGAGTCTCCTTCTGGGTTGGTTAAGTAAAGCTTGAAGCTTCAATTTAAGTCCTCTCTGAATATTGTGTATTATCTTGTATGTTGTTCTTGCTGATGAACGGTGACTTGAGATCAAAGCAGAGGTTACTGTAATACATTACATAAGAAGGTTCTTTTAGCATGGACGCTCTTCATATGCTACAGTAGCATTTTTATATTGTACATTGCGAAAATAATGGGGTAATCGAACACTTTGCTATTCAGAATGAAGCATTTTTTTCCCCTTTACTATGAAGACAATGTGAGAAATATTTGATTAATCTTTCACAGTTTATTACCCTTTCGTCTGTCCTCATCCGGTTGCTTCAACTTGTATTTTTGGATGGTTTGCCTTATATTTCAACTAAATTACAGGCAATTTGTGTTCTACTAGCCTGTGGATAACGAATTATGTGTTTCGAAAAGTATTAAACGGTCTAATTATTGCTCATAACTTAAATTAGTGACAAACTTAACTTTGTAGCAGCTGGATATGAATTTTGTAAATTAAGACAACAAATAGCAGGTTCACAGTCTTGAATCGATGAAGCTTTAGGAATAAAGGAACATTAAAGATTCTTAGTAAGAAGAGATGCTCGATTTTCAGGTAATACTAGTCCGGTTTTCTTACATATAACCAAAGTCTTTTAGCGAATAAAATATGAGTCTTATGGTTTGTTCATGGACAATGAGATGTTCTGTCTGATATGTAATATCTTCCATGTAAATTGACACATCGAGAACATTATAGATAAATCATAAATGGTTTTAATGGTGAGACAAGGAAGAATGAAATTGTCGCAGTTTCTAACTTTTTTTTCTGCAAAAGAAAAAAGAAAAGCCTCAAAATCTACCCTAGTGATCTGTCATACTCATAGAAGTTGCTTTAGACGATATCTAAGTTGAGAATTCAATAGTTAAGATAATGTTCAGTTTCTCCATTCTTATGTCCACGGAAATAAGTGTGTATAAGTAAAGAACTATTGCGGAGCCTATTGCATCATCAGTAGATTAGATACAGTTTGAGGAAATGGATCATGATGAGATGCAATTTCCTTTCTAGGAGCTTGTCACATGCTATTCTCTACAGGTTTCACCTAATTGCCACATACAGTAGGTGTATCAGGTTATTTCTAATTGACTGCTCTGAGTTTATTCAGTTTGAAAAACTTGAGTTTGGCATAAGTTCGGACTCCACCATTCGCGAGAAATCCTACTCGAGTTCTCTGTTTCGAAATATTTACTTAACCATAAGTTTCTTTTGTTGCATATGCATATGCTTACTGTCATCACTTCAGTAGAGGAGTTTTCGACAGCTACAATTTTGGAGCAAGACTAAAGTTGGTGCATTGATGTATCAATTGGTTTTGATTAACTTCTAATCCGAACACTCAGACAATTAATAGGTTTACTTAAAACATATTCGAAATAGTGTTTTAGGTTTCGTCCATCCAGAGAGAGTAAGTATGCTTGGTTGTTATATAAACGGACCTCTTGAAAAATCACTTCTCCAGAAGTCCACTTTGGAGAGTTGGAAATTGTTAGACTTTTGAAATTCTTTTTCGCTCAGCTTTTGAGGATTGCAATAAAGTGCAATGCCACCAAATACGTAATAATACTCGAAATCACTTTGGGACATGTTGAAAAGTCAAATCACATGTGGACTTTTATTCTTAAAGTTCTCCCGAACAAGCACAAAATTACCAAATGTTGACCAGGGCATACTGCATATCCATTACTCTTATGTTTCAACTTCATTCACAAGACCAAATGAGGTGTGGTTGGTTTGAAAAAATAGTCTTTTAATTGTGTTTCGGCCAGTGTAATCTTTCCTTCGCAGTTGCACCCTCTATCTGAGTTGTTAGTTCATCCCCAATCATTTCTCTCACCACCAAGAATCATGTATCGTCGTCGATTACCTCATTTACAGAGTAAGCCTTCTTTATATCCTGGGTCTATTTAGCTTTGCCTTCTTTCATCTCGCTTACTTACATTGAATCCTTTATTGAAGATCTTTGGGATTCTTAAGTTCTTGTTGTTCTACTAATATAGATATGTGCATTTTGAAACGTCTCCTTATAGAAGTAATTGGTATACCAGCCTATCCTTGTACAGATAACAGTCTTTTACAAAGATCAGGTGTCAGCATCTTTTGAAGGGTATCGGTGGTCAAGACGTGAGAGGAATGCTGGCGTATTGAAAAAGGAGTGTGAATGTTAATTTTACTTTAGAATCCTTTAATTTTCAGTTTGGTGTCCTTATGTGGTTCTCTGTGTGCTGACCTCTGGAAATGGCCATCGCTCCATTATAATATTTTTGGGGTTATCTAGTTTATGGCTCGTCAGTCGTCATGATCCATTTAGGAGATTGCTTTCTTATGTAATTCATCAAATATTTTTATTTGATGTCATTTTTGTTACCAATGATTCATCTACAACCTTTTTCTAGTATGTAAAAGGTCTCTCTGGAAGGCAACTGTATATCTGTAGCCATGAAGAGGCCCTTGCCATCTAATGACCAATTAGCGATTTCATCAGACGATTCTTCGTCTTTTTCTTCCTCTGATGAAGACATCGATGTCTTTAGGAGCCAGCAACTTAATGACGAGCCACCTGAATTATCTCCAGAAGGTATTTCAATTACCTACTTGTGACATCTCCACAAAACAGAGTAATGATTTTGTGTTGTCTGGCAATGTTTCAGTTATCTGTGTTTCATAATGCAACATGTTCTGCCATTTACAGGATAAATATTTTGTGAGCAGTTTGCATCAAGTTCCTTACCATTGGAAGGAACATGTGATTTATGATGTGGCTTGCTGTTTCTCCTTGCGTTACACTTCATCATGCATACATGAATTGATGAAGGTCACAGGAAATTAAAAAAAAAAATGTTCATGTTTTGAATAAGTATGTTGAATTATGAATAGCTTGTCCATTTGCCACTGTTTACTGGAAGCATTGTAGTACAGAACTTGGTCTAATTATTCAATAACTCAAAGAAACTCGAATGTGGTTATGTACCCTCATTTAAGGATTCTACTTTTGATGTCTATGGGTTGAATCTTTTTCTCTGATAAACATTCATAGACATATTTTAGAACGCTACTAGATTAGATCCTATGAATTACAACCATTAACGTTTATGACCTCAAGAATAAATCATGAAAAATTATATTTTTTTGGTAATTGAAATGTAGCATGGCTGTTGCGAAGAGCCCAAAGCTACCAAGAGTACATGAAGCTGATCCCTATCCCGAGCAATCGAAGCACAGTAATCCCGTACACCTCGTGGACCGGCCTAGGCAGCTCGATGAAGAAAATCTACGAGCAGCCATTGCACTACCTGACCAATATCCAGTTGAGATGTATGGACCAAGAGAGGCTTGGTGGTGATGCTGTCCCGCTATACAGGATCATCCACCCGTGCAAGGCTGAGGCCAGCATCTGGATCATTGAGGAGGCCCACCGGCTAACATCATCTCCACATCAGCTCGTCAGACTATGGGAGGCCAATACATCTTATCATGCATACATCGATCACATATTTCCCCAGCTGAAGGTTTGAGAAATCACCCATTTGTTGATGGTGTTGGGAATTTTTTGAAGCTGGCATAGTGCACTGGGCTCTTTACTTACTGTCTTCTTTTTTACTCTCTTTGTGGTTTGGGAAGTTAAGTTCGGAGTTGTTTGAATATCGTCATGAGATATGTATGTTTAAAAAAACCATACAATTTCATCGTTTTAATCATAGTTTAAAGCAAACAACTAATGATGCTAGTTTTGGTGACCTTCTTTTATCCATTTTTTTTTTTTCACAGCTCTATGACATGTTTATATTTGCAACTCGTGTAAAACTCAAACCCAGAAGTTCAACGGTAAAACTGTGAGGTGTGACTTTAGGAACCTAAAAAAACTCGTCCATTAAAGTTGCTCTTATGGTGTAATGATTTCAATTGCCAAGATTTATCAGAGTAATGTCTTTATTTGTCAAGTTGAAAATTTTGGTTTAATTAGTAGTTTTGAAATGTAATTTTACTTTCTTCAATTAAAGATCTGCTGCTGATGCACTTATGCTGGAACTTTGGCACTGAAACTGTGGATTGCTGATGGTATCTAAAAGTCCAGAGTAATTCTGTTTCTGTAGTTCTCATTGTCAGATAACCAAATACAGATAGAAAAATACACATCTGTTACAAGATGGAACAAAAAGAGAGACCATGTTTCTGCCAAATGCTTATTTACCAGTAATCATGGCAAGAACAAGAACCTCCCCAGAAAAAATGAAATCTATTGTTATCCCTAATCACTATCTCGCGTTCGTATACTTTTGACACCATCTTTGCGAATGAATGGCAGTCCGAACACATCCTCAGATTCTTAACAATCCTCAGAGGCATTCCCCTTACGGACGAGACGAGCCCATAGGCAATAGCCAGCTTTTCACTATGCCGGCCGAGTGAAAATTCTTTCTCCCTCTCGTCAATATCAAGCAGCACATTTGTCAAGTCCGGAACATACCCTTCCTTGCCGATTCTGCAGTTTATTTCCTCGAGCATCAAGGAAGTACGCTCATTTTCGTTATGCGACTCATCCCCTGAAGTGAACTCATAAACAGTCCCATCTATTTCGAGTGAGCTCGACCCCGGAATTTTCTTCATCCCCTTTTCCTTCATGTGCGTCCTCACTTTTGCTACATCATCCCACTTTCCCGCGTGGGCATACATATTTGACAGGAGAACCTGGAGACCCGTTTTCTCGCAACCCAATTTGTCGATCATCCCGGAAGCTAAGGCTGCCATCTTCTCATTCTTGTACACTCTACAAGCGGCCAAGAATGCACTCCAAACCTCGCCGTTGGGCTCGACTGGCATCTCCCTTATGAAATCCAGGGCCCGATCCAAAAGCCCAGCTCGGCCAAATAAATCGACCACGCAGCCATAGTGGACAACGTGCGGGGCCACCCCGTGCTCCATCATCCTATTAAATATATTCATACCTTGCTCAACCAAGCCCGCGTGGCTGCATGCAGTGAGCACCGTGGAGAACACGACTGGATCGGGCACAACTCCCTGCCCGAGCATCTCGTGGAAGAGCTTCAAGGCCTCTTTCCCATTTCCCACCATGGCCATGGCCCCGATTGCAGCCGTCCAGGCTGAGATGTCCCGCTCGCCCATTTCATTAAACACCCGCATTGCGTTACGTGGGTCCCCACACCTACCGAACATGTCGACTAGGGAAGTATTCAGGCACACGTTACGCCTAATTCCACATTTCTTGATGTAATTATAAGTCCACTTAGCGAGGTCATGGGCACCTAAGTACCCGCAAGCTGAAGCCACACTAACCATGGTTACCTCGTCTGGGATTATAACACTTTCCTTTTGCATTCGGTGAAAGAGGGCAATAGCATCTGTGAATAGGCTCTGCTGAACCAAGGCGCCAATCATGGTGTTCCAGGACACGATATTCCGTTCAGGCATTCGGTCAAACAAAGCCCAAGCGGGGCCCAGATCGCTGTTCCTCGTGAAGCCAGCAAGGAGAGAATTCCAGGAGACGGCAGTTTTTTCGGGCATCCGGTCAAACACTCGACGAGCCCATTCCAGCTTGTCACATTTTGTGTACATGTCGATGAGTGAGTTGCCTATGTTGTTGTCCCGACTTTCAAGCCCGTTGCGCAAGATGTAGGCATGGCATTGCATGCCGAGGTGAAAATCGATGAGTTCGGCCGAGGAAGTAATAACCGACAACATGGTGACCCGATCGGGCCTCAGCCCGGATTCCAGCATTTCACGGAACAGATCGACTGCTTCATTCGTCTTCCCCATTTTCACGTAATTCGACATGGCCGTATTGTAAAGGTCCAAGTTTTTCCCATCCGCATGCTCGTCAAAGAGCCGCCTTGCCTTATCGGGCTCTTTGCATTTCATGTACATGTCGACGAGCGCACTTACCAAAATACCATTGGCCTTTAGCCCAATTGTTCTAACATGTCCCGCAACCTTCTCACCCAGAATTCGGTCCCCCAATTTTGCACAAGAAGAAATCACGCTCACCATTGTAACTTCATTGGGCTCAACTCCCTCATCCACCATCTCAAAAAACAGACAAATGGCCTCTCGGTACAAATCTTTAACCGAGTAGGCACAAATCAAACTTGTCCATGTTACAACGTTTGTCTCAGGCATTATATCAAACACTTTTCTCGCACTATCAGTTTCTCCGCATTCTCCGTAAAAGTAGATTAGAGTATTGGAGATGAAAATATCATCACAATAGCCCGTTTTCAAGATTGAAGCATGGATTTGTTTTCCTTCGAAAAGCTTCAAGCTTTTCGCACAGGCGCGCAATACAAACGGAAACGTGTAGTTATCAGGCCTAAGCCCCTCGATTAACATGTTCACATACAGCAAAACAGACTCGTCAAAAACCCCGGCTAAGGAATTGCCTCTTATCAGAGAATTATAAAGGTAAGTTACAGTGGTGATGTTGAAACTGTCCCTGTTGCTCTTAAGTATCGCGAAGGCTTTTGTTGCGTTCTCCAGGCTTTCAGCAGTGCCCATTTCAGAGTATTTGGCGATGAGCTTTGTCAGGATAGGCGGGCTGGATATTTGGCCCTGTTTCGTGAGCTGGCAATGGAGTTGCTTCATTACTAGAAAGCTTTTGCAGGATTTCAGAGAGTCGGTATTCGGGTTGGGCTTGGGTGGAGCGGGTTCGGGTCGGACTTGAATTCGGGATTTCAGTACCGGAGCGTCCATGGCGGAGGAGGTGGTTAGGGGAGGAGCGCATACGACACTAGCGGACGCCATGAACGCTTGTTCCAAATGTTTGTAAAATGTTTTCTCGAGTGTCGGTTGTTGTCTATACCTCTGGTCTCACTTACTTTAGTTACCAGCATGGCATAACATTTCTTAACCAACTTATTAGGTATTTACAAGAATCGAGATTGGCATAAATTCTATATGACAGGATAAATCTATCACAGGGTGAGATTAGCAGTGTCAAACAGGTCGGTCTGTTCTGGCTCGTGTTGGCCCGCAATTCAATTGGGGCGGGCCAAAATGGCCCGCATTTCTACGAGTTGGGAAATCCATGGCCCGTGACCCGCTCTCATTAATTTGGCCCGCCCACGGGTTTTTTGGTATTATGCTTTGTTTATCCTTATATTTACTAGTATATTAATAAACTAATAAGGCTTTATGTGTAATGATGTTAAATATTTGTCATCCAATTTTTATTTTTATTTTTTTATGAATAGTTATAGGGTATTCACGGGATGAAAAACTTAATTCACATAAAATATTATTTGATTCATTAATATTTTTATTATGTAGAAAAGTGTCATGTGCATTCATAAATCTTAACATCATTGTCAAAATTTAAAAAATATAAAATAAATAAATATGGAAGAAGAAGAAGAAGAAAAAAAAAACGATAAAGACAAAATCCAACAAAATAAATAAGTTCATTAATAGTAATTACTAATTAACAAACATTCGAATTCTCATAGCAGATCATACTAAATTTAAATAATATAAACTTACCAAATAAATAAATAATAAAAAAAAGGTTGGATCGCGGGCTGAACGGGGCGGGCCAAATAGGCCCGCGATTGAACGGGTTGAACAAGCAAAGGCCCAAGCCCGTCCATTTAGGCGGACAGACGGGTCAGCCCGCGGGCCATGGCCCGTTTTGACAGTGCTAGGTGAGATATTTAGATTCAACATAAAAAAATAACATTTTTGTCCAAAAAGCTACATTTTCATTATACCCTCGAATGTCTAAATAATTACAAATTTAGTAAAGCTGCCTCATGGATAAAAGCTGACACATGAGATTAAACCATTCATTGATGGGATTTTCTACAGTCAGGTTCCTCTTGTACCTACTTAACATCAGGTATCCCCTTATTTCACCGTTGGATTGACTAAAAAATGGAAATCAACGATGGATTCAAGAGTACAAGGCAAAAAAGAATTTTGGTAGCCTTGTACTCTGTCTCGTACCCCTCGTACTTGTAAAAACCTATTATACCCTCCGTACCTTTTGTACCTATTTTATTTATTCTCAAACCCCACATACTTGTCTAATTTATATAACAATCCTACAAATTCAAAACAATTTCATCACAACCTAAAAATATAATTTACGATTCAAATTTTTTTTCTTCTTCTTCATCTTCTTCTTCTTCTTCATCTTCTTCTTCTTCTAACTTTACTTTCAAAAACCTCTGTCATCCTCTCATAAGGATTCAATCTCATAACAATATTATTACCTATACCAATGATTCATGGACAATATTATTAGCCACCGCGCTGGGCTGCTGCATTTGTAAAAAAAAAAAAAAAAAAAAAAAAAAAAAAAAAAAAAAAAAAAAAAAAAAAAAAAAAAAAAAAAAAAAAAAAAAATCGGCGGGACTACGGCGAGAGGACGCCGGCCTGGGGCGTCAGGGGCTTGGTGGAGTTCAAGCGCCGTGGAAGATGTGTGATGGACGAGTGAAGGCATGGCTGAAATCGAATTTGGAGTTGCAGCCTGGTATCGGTCAATTTTCTATCTTTACCGTTTTGCTGACATAATTTTGTTCAGTTCCTCGTTTTTCTTGGGCACATTTTTGTTATAAACATGGTTGAACCTGTGTTGTGCAGGCGGACGTTGAGACTGATGTTGCCGGACAGCCGGTAAAGAAGAGAACGTTCAAGAAGTTCAGCTACAGAGGCACTGATCTCGATGCGCTCCTCGACATATCTACCGAAGAACTTGTCAAGCTCTTTCCTGCTCGTCCCCGCAGAAGGTTTGATCCAATTTGTAGTGTATTGTTGCACCTGATTAACTTCAAGTCTTCAATATAAATTTGTGTACACATATTTCAAGGTGAAAATTTGAATCTATTTGATGGGATGTTCAATTATTGTTGTTTATAACACTTTCAATCTGTGGGATACCTTGTTGAAGTTATGATGTGTGGCTTTTTGTAGCTCTTTAGCTGTTTGAATGATTTAGTGTGCACTAATTTTATTTACTTGTGCTTCTACTGGTTACAAGCTTTTGCCATTGTGGCTGGTATACATTTTCAGGGTTTGTGGCTTGCAGGGACCTGGCTTTCGAAAATTTGATAAATATTAGGGACTGATTATCAAATTAGTAACTTTAGGCCGAGTGAAGATGCGGCTTAAATTCCCTCAGTTAAATTTTCATTCTGGTTGTCTAGGATTTCTTGGATTTGTTGTTTCCATAGGTTTTCTTTGAGTCCATTCAAGTCACTATGTTTGACTATTTCTTCAACATAGGTTATGTCTGACTATTTCTTCAACATTATAGGTTGGCAGTTGTTTGTTTTAAGGGAAAAGGGCATGAGATTCCACAGGACATGGATCCTCAGATTGCAGCTATTATTGTATATTGCTGGGGCAAATAAGTTATATATCTTCTTCCAATTGATGTTTGCAATGTGTAGAATTGTTTTTAGTTGATCACCTTGAACTTGTTTATTTATTTGGGAAAAAACTTTCCTATATGTTCATATTTATCTGTTCACAATTTTTCCTATCTGTTCTTTCTCCACTTCTGATTTCATTTCTTTTTATTTTGTTTTTTATTTAGTTATATTGATTGCTCTGTAGAATTAGGGTGAATATGTTGTAGTTGATGTGCTTGCGTGAAAAAAATAAAAAAATTGAACTAGTGTGTGTCTCTTTGAGTTGTGCGTATGTAGATTTGTAATTTGAACACCTTGTAGAAGATCTTAGGAAACATATGCATTTTTCATCAAATACTTGAAGAAAAATGGCGGTGCTGTCTATGGTAATTGATACTATTTCCTGATTTAGGTATCTGATTAATTATGCCGCTGTGAGTTGTGAATCTACAGGCATAAAGCGCCTTTTGTTTCTGTAATAATATTTATTTAATTTGTAAAATGAATATGTTTCTTTGTACAATGAACATGTTATGTTATAAAATGAATATCTTTTATTATCAGCTGAATATGTTAAATTATAAGATGAACATGTTTCTTTCTCAGATGAACATGTTTATTAACACGATGAATGAGGTGATTTTATACGTAATATGCTTTTTAACATGATGAATACGTTTCATTGTAAAATGAACATGTCAAATTATAAGATGAAGATGTTATATGATAAGATGAATATGTTTTATTATAAGTTGAATATGTTAAATTGTAAGACTCAAAATATTTGAACTTTGTCATTCAATAATTAACTAAAAAATATCATGATATTTTAATTATAATCACTTTATTTGAATCACTGATTTTTAAGATGACCGCTAAATAAATAGTGAGAATTAAAATTTTAATGTATTAAATATTTTATTTATTTATAATATCTTAATATTCTTAAATGATTTATGGTTTTTTTAATAAATTGAGAGTTTATTTGTGCATTACTATCCTATCAAATAAGATAATTGTTTCAGTAATATTTATTTAATTTGTAAAATGAATATGTTTCTTTGTAAGATGAACATGTTATGTTATAAGATGAATATGTTCTATTATCAGCTGAAAATGTTAAACTATAAGATGAACATGTTTCTTTCTCAGATGAACATGTTTATTAACACGATGAATAAGTTGATTTTGTATGTAATATGTTTTTTAACATGATATGGTTTTTAACATGATGAATATGTTTCATTGTAAAATGAACATGTCAAATTATAAGATAAAAATATTATGTTATAAAATGAATATGTTTTATTATCAGTTGAATATGTTAAATTATAAGACTTAAAATATTTGAACTTTGTCATTCAATAATTAACTAAAAAATATCATGATATTTTAATTATTATCACTTTATTAGAGTCACTGATTTTCAAGATGACTGCTAAATAAATAGTGAGAATTAAATTTTAATGTATTAAATATTTTATTTAATGATAATATGTTAAGAATCTTAAATGATTTATGGTTTTCTTAATAAATTGAAAGTTTATTTGCGCATAACTATCCTATCAAATAAGATAATTGTTTCAGTAATATTTATTTAATTTGTAAAATGAATATGTTTCTTTGTAAGATGAACATGTTATGTTATAAGATGAATATGTTCTATTATTAGCTGAATATGTTATATTATAAGATGAACATGTTTCTTTCTCAGATGAACATGTTTATTAACACGATGAATAAGTTGATTTTGTATGTAATATTTTTAACATGATGAATATGTTTTATTATAAAATGGACATGTCAAATTATAAGATGAAGATGTTACGTTATAAGATGAATATGTTTTATTATCATTTGAATATGTTAAATTATAAGACTTAAAATATTTGAACTTTGTCATTCAATAATTAACTAAAAAATATCATGATATATTAATTATTATCACTTTATTTGAGTCACTGATTTTCAAGATGACCTCTAAATAAATAGTGAGAAATTAAATTTTAATGTATTAAATATTTTAGTTATTGATAATATGTTAAGATTCTTAAATAATTTATGGTTTTCTTAATAAATTGAGTATTTATTTGCGCATAACTCTCTTATCAAATAAGATAACTGTTTCAGTAATATTTAACTAATTTGTAAAATGAATATGTTTCTTTGTAAGATGAACATGTTATGCTATAAGATGAATATGTTCTATTATCAGTTGAATATGTTAAATTATAATATGAACATGTTTCTTTCTCAGATGAACATGTTTATTAACACGATGAATAAGTTGATTTTGTACGTAATATGTTTTTAACATGATGAATATGTTTCATTGTAAAATGAACATGTCAAATTATAAGATAAAAATATTATGTTATAAAATGAATATGTTTT